GAGAGGGGGGGGGGAGGACGGCACCCGACTGGCAGAACACCTCCCGCGCCCTTGCACCCCAGCCACCCCATTGCACCTTTCGTGGTTTGTCTTCGGGGCCGTCGCGCCTGCAACATCCTGCGCTGCAACCACGGGCCTAACGACCGGCTGCAGGCCGCCCAGCCCATGGCTGCCAGCTACAGCAACCACGTGGGGCAATAACACGACGGTAGCAGCTACCCATGGCTGTTAGGTAGGCGGGCGCTACCGCGCTGTGCGAACGCGAGTGGCTAAGCAGTGGCTAAAGCGCTATCGGCCTACAGCTTTTGAGTTTTCTGGATGGCCGAGGGAGGTTCGACGCAGGCCGGTGACCTCATGTGGAGCAGCTCTCACCTTTTCAGCCCCCAACATGCGGGCCCCGCGTCTTTCGCAGACGCGCACTCCCACTCGTTTCATCGATGGCGGCCTGGTGGGGCGGCCACTCCCTGGACGCACCGTCCGCGCTCCCGAAGCAGTTCGTGCGGACCGTCGGGCGCCATTTTCTGCTCCCATCGGCCGCATGAGTGGCACGCCGCCGGTAACCACGGCTGTCTGGGCCTCAGCTCTGCTCGAGATTTCATGCCGCAGCCCGCGGGCCATGTCTGGCGCGGCGCGGTTCGCTCTGCTTCCCTGGGGGACCGCCGGTCTCAGGCGCGCTGCTGGGACTCTGGCATTCCGCGGGGAGCGCCTCGAGCGGCGCTGAGGACTTCATTACATCCTCCGATCATGCGACGACAGCGCCCCGGCCCGCCGGCGGCCGCCGCGGCGCAGCAGCGTCTGCCTGCGCGGCGCCGGTTGCCGCTTCCTGCTCTCGCCCGGGCGACGCCTGCAGCGGGCGCGCGCTGAGCGCGGACGCTCATGCGGGCCGGCCGCCTCCTGGCGGGGCGGGGGCGTGCGTGCCCGGGGCGTGGGAGCGCCGCCGCGGCGCGCGGCGCCCCCGCGCGGGGCGGCCCGCACGGGGGGTGTCGCCGCGCCGCGGCGCGCCCCCGGTGCTCTCCTCTCGGCGCTCCCGCGCGGGCACCCTTAGGGGCCGGACCGCTGCTGAGCCGGACCTGTCATCGCGGAGCGCCCCGCCGCCGGCCGGCACGTCTGCCCGCAGCGGGTTGCTCGCCTGTTTCCGGGGAATACGTCAACCGCCTGGCTGAGGAACTTGCATGCGCCGCCGCGCTAGCGGCACGTCTGCGCTGCAGCCGGTGCTCTCCTGCTGCCCGGGACGCCCAGTGCCTGCTGAAGGACTGCTCATCCGCCGCCGCCGCGGCAACGTCGGCCTGGCGCCGGTTGGCGCTCCTGGCTTCCGGGATAAGCCTCACGCTGCGGAGGACTTCGTGCCCGCCGTCGTTGTGCGTCTGCCTGCGGCCGGGTTGCGCTTTTTCCTGTTGGGTTCTCCGCGACACCTACTGCGGCCCGCCCCCGGTGGGGGTGCCCTCACCCTTGTTAGGGCCCCTACCCACTCCTCACCGTGGCCCGTTCCATGGCCCGGTCCTCACCTGCGACCACACCCTCGTCGGCCCCTGTGGTGCTTCCTC